CCGGGGCCCGAAGGCCGCCAGCCAGGCCCTCTCCCCTGGCTCCCAGCCTCGCTGGCTCCAGCCCACCCTGCGCATCACTGCGGGACCAACCTTCCTCTCCCATGATGAACCCAGCACTGGCTGTCGTCATGTGAGCCCCTGCTCTAGAACCTTCGATGGCTCCCTACTGCAGGCCAGAGCTCTCCACCACAGGACCGAGCAGATCCCAGACAGGGCCCCGCACGCCCATCTCAGCTCTCCAGCACTCGTCAGCCGGCACCTGGGCTTCCACGTACAATGTCAGCACAGGGCCGACAGGTGACAGGGAGGACGAGGTGCTGGATCCCACACGGCCAACTGCACGGTTCAGACCCCGCAACATGAACATCACACCAGTCGCATGTGCGTGCGTGCCCCAAATCCCAAGAGATGAATGAAGGAGAAAGGACGGCGGCATGGCCAGCCCCTGGGGGTGATTTCTCTCTCTCTCTCTCTCTCTCTCTCTCTCTCTCTCTCTCTCTCTCTCTCTCTCTCTCTCTCTCTCTCTCTCTCTCTCTCTCTCTCTCTCTCTCTCTCTCTCTCTCTCTCTCTCTCTCTCTCTCTCTCTCTCTCTCTCTCTCTCTCTCTCTCTCTCTCTTTCTAGGGAGCACATATGCCCTCTGGCAAAAATCTAAAACCTAAATAATGAAAGGTCAGCACAACCTGTTTTGCCACGGGAGGCTCTGCGCTAAGACCTCATCACCCACTAAGTCTGTTAATGCAGATTTGTTTTTTCAAAAAAATATTTAATTTGTATTTATTCATTCATTTATCTTTTTTTTTAATTTGACCAGAGAGGGACACATAGAAAGAGAAAGTGAGAAAGCAAGCCACCAGGTCTGGGACTTGAACCATGGTCAGCCACGTGGGAGTGCCCAGCATCTTAACCACCATGCCACCTGCTGTTAATGCAGATTTCTAAGAGTCTTCCCTCACCCCCGGCCTAAACTGACCCCTGCAACACAGTCTGCATCTCTGCTTCCCGCATTTCACCCCTTGCGTGTTATCTCAGGGCACCCCCAGCCTTATCTCACCAGCACCACTAAGCTCCCAGGCGGTGGGCAGGGCAAGGGGCAGGGATTCAGGGGCAAAATCCGCAACTCTCCCACTCCCTCCTGGCCTGGCTGTGCCTCAGGCCCTGGCACTGGCTGTTCTAACTCGCTCAAGCCAACTTCCAAGGGTTGGCTCAAATGCTACCTTCTCCAAGTGGCCCACTTGAACCTCTTACGAGAAACCACAACTCCCATCCCCACGCCACCCTGCCGCCGTGTGACATGGACATCCGTCAAACAGACTAAACAACTTACCACTGGGTCGTCAGGAAAGTCATGACACATGTTTGCACAGAAAAATACATCATGACTTTTCCAACAACCCGGTATAATATTTACTCCACGTCTTATTATCCACACGCCTCCAGGAGGGCAGGGGCTTTCGTTTTTCTTTACTGTAAGCTCGCCTGGCCCTGAAACAGTGCTGGACCCATAGTACGTGCTCAGTTAACGTCTGATCCAGCCGCTCCGTAAATACTCGTAGATAGGACTATTTTTGAAAACTGCATTAAACCGCTTTTCCTAAATCAAAACAAAGCATGAAGGACCAGCGGTTGGTGTAATAGCTATGTCGCTGGACTCCCATGAAGTCAACCGTGGTTCGAGTCCCGGACCCAGTGGCTTAAACTCACGCCAGGCGCGTGTGTGTGCGTGCCCAAGATCCCGAGAGGAGAATGGAGAAGAAGAGATTGCGGCGTGGCCATCCCCACGGGGGGTGATTTCTCACTTTCTGTCTCTATGTCTCTCTTTCTGGCAAGCACATGCGCCCTATAGCAAAAAAACCCCTTCCTCTCCCCGCCAAAAAATAAAAAAAAAAGCATGGAATGACTTCTCTTAGACACAGTCTTCCACCACAACGCTGCTCTTCAGACCCAGGGCTGAAACTCAAAGTAACGCAATGACTAAACGCTCAGCTCCGCAGAAAACCAAGCCTTCCTGGGTTCAAATCCCACCACCGCCACTTCTTATTGCCTTGAGCAAGTTGTTTGGTAACGGCTATGTCAGTTTCCTCATTGGTCAAGGTGGGCCCTAAGACCTCACGGTTCTCAGTGTCTTAGGACAAGCTAATGCCCGATAACGCATTTGAACCATGCCAGGAGAACTCGAATCACGTTCGTTCTCATTTTGGAAGTGGATGGCGGACGTATTAAACCAAAAAGAAGCCTCTATGACAAAAGGTTTCCAAACACTAGTCAATGATTCAGTGACTGGAGCAAGAAGCTATTACATAACGCATACCTGCGAGAAGCAGAACCCCGGCTCAGAGCAGCATTTCCGGTTTCGCTTTCTGCCAGTTTCCGTTATCTACAACCTCAGACTTCACAGGGAGGGGGTGAGAAGGCAGGTCTGCTGTTAGAGGCACAGCCCCTCCTACGCCCACGGCCCCGGGGCCAACGGCCAGGCCGCCACCCGTGAAATACACGGGTACGTGCAGCACTGAGCCCACCCACAGCCAGGCTGCTGGGCCAGTACCAGCTGCTCCCTCCTAGCCGGATCAGCACCATCACAACTGGACCAGCACCATTATGACTGGACCAGCACCACCATAACTGCACCAGTACCACCTGCTCCCTCCAGCCAGACCAGCACTGCCATGACTGGACCAACACCCCATGAATGGACCAGCACCACCTGCTCCCTCCTAGCGGGACCGGCACCACCATGACTGGACCAGCACCACCATGACTGGACCAGCACCACCTGCTCCCTCCTAGCCAGACCAGCACCGCCATGACTGGATCAGTACCACCTGCTCCCTCCTAACCAGACCAGCACCGCCATGACTGGGTCAGTACCACCTGCTCCCCCTTAGCCTGACCACCACCGCCATGACTGGTCAGCACCAGGTGCTCCTCACTAGCCTGACCCACTGGGGGTGCTATCTCTCTGTCTCTCTCATGCACATGGACACGCCCTCTGACATTTTTTTTAAATTATCTTTACCAGGAGCAGCAGATGGTGTAATGGTTACGTCGCTGGGCTCCCACGTGGCCAGCTATGGTCTGAGTCCCGGCCCAGCGCCAC